TTAATATTTATTTTTTTAGTTGTAGTTGGACACAATACCTTTATTTCACTTATTTATTTTTATGTGGTGCTGAGGATCGAACCCAGTGTCTCGTATGTGAGAGGCGAGTGCTCTACTGCTAAGCAACAACCCTAGCCCCTATTTTTAATTTTGAGATAGGGTCTTGATAAATTGCTTAGGGCCTTGCTAAGTTGCTGAGGCTGGTTTTGAACTTGTGTACTTCCTGCCTCAGCCTCCTGAGCCGCTGAGATTATAGTTGTGTACCACCTTGGCCCTTTACATGGATCACCCTTTTCTATTTAGCAAGACTCAAATCATAGGTCCTTTGGCCCATCTTCTAATTTCCAAATACACATAATTCAGATTAAAAAAAATCAAGACTTTGCCCACTTTTTTCTTCCTGTCCTTCTCTTCCTCTTCCTCCTTCTCCTTGCAGTCTCCTAAATTATTTTAAAGAAAACTCCAGACATCATTTCATCTCAGAAAGCATTGTTTAAAAATGGATAGTGTTGTAAATTACCACATTTTTCTAGGTAACTAGAAATAAAATGATTCTTCTTTTCTAAAAGAATAATTAGTCAGGTATGGAGGCACATACCTGCAATCCTAGCAACTCAGGAGGTTGAGGCAAGAGGATCATACATTAGAGGCCAGCCTGGGCAACTTACAGTGACCCTGTCTCAAAAAAACTTTAAAAAATGGGCTAGGGGTAAGACTTAGTGTTAGAGTGCTCCTGAGTTCAAAAATATTTTGAAAGAGATTATAAACTCCCGGAGGGCAAGGAATCTTTAAGGTATAGCAGAGATGGTAATGCCATCAGGGCTATACCATGATGTGACCAACAGAGATCAGAAACTCAGTTTTACCCATAGACCTAGAGTTGACTAGTTCAGAGGAAAGATCTTAAGAAACTGATGAAAGAATGTTACTATGTTTTAGGTGGTCAGAGATGAGATCTTCTTGTATTGCTTGGTAAGATTAAACAACACAGCTCACCCATATCCTCTGTGTTTTCTGGGTAGACTAACCTCCAGACTTTTACATCTGAATGTTGAAGAAACTTTTTAGCTAAAATAGGAACTAAATTGAAATAGATACCCTTGATTTACATAGAACCCACAGGGTAAAGTGAGAAAAAGACATTGAGATTCATACAAGGACTAGCTTGATGGCAGGAAGATTTCAGAAAATGCAGGACTGGAGAGAGAAATAATAGAGTCAAGTGAGGAAACCATCATGCATCCAGGGCGTGGTACATGTCTATAATCCCAGCAGCCAGAGAGGCTGAGGCAGGAGGATTTCAAGTTCAAAGCCAGTCTCATCAATTTAGCAAGGACCTAAGCAACTCGGCAAGACCTGGTCTCTAAGTAAAATATTAAAAAAATAAAAAAGGGCTGGGAATGTGGCTCAGTGATTAAGTACCCCTGGGTTTAATCCCCAGCACCGAGAGAGAGAGAGAGAGAGAGAGACAGAGAGACAGAGAGAGAGAGAGAGAGAAATGACCAGAAGTTTGATCATGTTTCTGTTCATCTTCCAACATGTGTTCTAATTGCCTCTGTTTCCTCCAAACACCCATGGGCTCTGGAAGAAAGGAAAGGGCTTTAGCCAAAAGAAAAAATGTCACAAGTGGCCAACACCTCTGAAAGAACAAGATAGGAAACACAAAAGTTGCTTCCCTGGAAGCTGGAGAGGTATGTGCAATAGATGATGATATAGATATGTGCTTGTATTTAGTAAAGCGGTAGCAGTTGACCAAGCATAGGACTGGAGGGAGTACTAGCAGATAATAGAGCAAAGGTATCAAAGCTATAGGCAGTAGGTCAATAATTATATGATACAAGTGATCGCCATGTCTATCTTCTGAGTATTCCTAAAGGAAACAGTGAGGGAGGTTGTGTAATGCTGGATTACTCAACTTTTCTGAGGAAAATGAGGGTAATAATAAGTATACCTATTTCTTAGGTTTGTTGCCTAGGATTACATCATATAACAAACACTTGAAACAAACATATCAGTTGTTACATCAATAAAAACGTTAATTTATTAAAATGGTTACAGTGACTTACAGTCACTCTAATGCAGGTCCTACTATTCTGGGAACATACCAGACACACTCCTGCATCAGTGTTTGACTATGACATTCTTTTTGCCTGGAGAACTCTTTCTCTAAATACTTTCATGGCTAGCTCCTTATTTCCCTAAAGTCATTTACTCTAATGTCACTTTATCAAGTTCTTTCCTGATCATCTTGGAATACTTTATTTTCTTATCCTGTTTTATTTTCTCTGTAACATAAAGTTTCATCTAATATACTATGTATTTTACTTTTGGTTTTCTGTTCCACTTCACTAGAATATAAATTCCATAAAGTATGGAGATTTTTAAAATGTGTATGTGTCCCCTCCTCACCAGCCACTGCTAGGTCTTTAGTGCCTGAAACAGAGTTAAGACAGTCAAATATCTGTTGAATATGCAAAAGATGTTCACTAACCAGAACATTCTCTACCTGATACTAGGCATAAGGGGGGTCTGTGAGCATAATGATATCTTTTATTATTCTCATAAAGTCTTGAAAAGTACCTGAAGCTTCTACTAGCCCCTTGAAATAATTTAAACCTTTGATTCATTCATTCTACTCACTCATTTATTCATTCACTAGTCACATTTAAATATGGCAGATACTAGCTATTACCAGGGATTAAGTGACAATTTTTTTAAGAGAGAGGAGAGAGAGAGAGAGAGAGAGAGAGAGAGAGAGAGAGAGAGAGAGAGAATTTTTAATATTTATTTTTTAGTTTTTGGCAGACACAACATCTTTGTTTTTGCTTGAGCCACATCCCCAGCCCAAGTGACAAATTTTTAAAAATTTTTTTAAAAAATATTTTTTAGGGAAGCGGTTCAATGGCAAAGTGCTTGCCTGGCATTGAAGCTGTGGGTTCAATCCCCATTCCGAAAAGAAAAAAAAAATTTGACAGATAAATGAACCCAAAGGGCTGGGATTGTGGCTCAGTGATAAAGTGCTCGCCTAGCACTTGTGAGGCCCTGGGTTTGATCCTCAGCACCACACAAAAATAAATAAATAAAATGAAAAAAAGTTAATAAAAATTAAAAAAATATATATTTTTACTTGTTGATGTACCTTTATTTTTTATTTATTTATATGTGGTGCTGACGATGGAACCCAGTGCCCCACACATGCTAGGCAAGCGATCTGCCACTGAGCCACAACTCCAGCCCACAGTGACAAATTTTTATGACAAACTTATATTCTAGTTGGAACAGAGATGGAGTTGAAGTGTACTGAGAAAACAGAAGAACCATGTGTCTCCTTACTGTCATTTCACTGTGTGAGGTATATAATA